AGCTGTAGGTACGTAACCCCCAAGACTGATTGCGGGAGGTTATTCTATCGTTTTATGGCCCGTTGCGGGAAGAATTCAGGGCGGAGATTATGTTCAGACATTTTCGTGCGCAGCTTCATTGTGTCCACTCTAATATCTACACCTACTACTACTACTTCGCAAAGAGTTTTAAGAAATCCTGTCAAAGGTAAACAGCAGGCTAATTATACAAGGGAGTCTTCTGGTTAACGACCTCAGCTACCTTGCGCCAACGTTTCTGCCCAAACGGACAGGTAAGGATGGCCACTGTAGGAAGGCGACGTTGATACCTCCATTCATAGTCAAATAGGTGCCTTAATCCAGTTTGTGATGTGGCACTAATAAGAATTTGGAAGGTTTAATGACACTGTGGGAACCCGTGACCTGGCTCACCATGACTAACTCATCGTGCCCTCGCCCGCCAAGCTTGCACTCGCGCTGATTATCTATCCCAGGCGCTCTTGTTAGACCTGCTGTGAACGCCGCGCACGCTGTCCACCTCTCGTGCAATTTCGGATATTAGCCTCACGAGCTAAAGCCAATCAGTGTGCACCATTTCTTGATTGGCTGCAGGACACGTCACGGGATCCTGTAACCCGTGCGCACAGGCATACATCAACCGAGCTGTTTACTGTGGGCAGCTCTTTTCTGCCGCAAAGTGATAACTTATTATAGAAAGTCTCCTGGTTGATCTAAGGCATATTAACGGCCCACGTTCGTTGAGAACCTTCCTTTTTCTCGGCAATGAGTTTTAATCTTTAGGCGAGTCTACAAATATACCCCAAAAGGCAACCTGCATAAGAAACAATGTTCACAAAAATATCTTCTTTGGTAAGTGCATTTTAGAAATATTTTATTTTGAAGGTTTTTATAAACATTTCGAACAGCGGCTAAAACAGGAAGATATTTCTAAAAAAACAGCAATGGCACTATTAGTATTTTCTTGAAATTTTCAATTCGTTCAAGCGTGTTTATTAGTATTCCACAGATTTTGTACAGGTGTTAATGCCGATTTGTGAGTAAAAAGCAATATTAAGGTAAATTTAGTTTTTTTTGCATGTGACGGGTGACGCAATGTACGCGAGAAAAAACGGGGTCGACTACGGTGTCTAATTATAGTCTGAAAAAGCAGGGAATTGAAACCAGGTCCAGTGAATCCTTCTGCATTCATTCAAAGAATACTGAAGTTACATGAGAGAAGGGTCTATGAACCAAGCCTGATCTCGAAGCTTAGTGGAGGTAATTCCAATTTGTTCTGAAACTCAGGTATGCGATAGCATAAGCCACGCCACACACCCCAGTGATAACTTCAACAGTTTATAATAAATATACTACCTGTTGTATTTCAGTAGCATGTGCATATAAGTTGATATTTCAGTCGGTGCCGGTGCGCGTGTCGGCAGTAGTACGCCATGGTCACTCCAATCGGCTAGTGAACAGCTCATTCCCCCTGTTTCCCGTTCAAACCGGATTCACATTGGGCTAACTGGAGTCAATACGAAAAATGAGTCATCAGAGGGGTATGTGGTATGATCTTAGCTCGCGGATAATTTAAAGGTTACCTAATTGTTGAATCAATTTCAGATTCACCAGCCCCACAAAGAGAGGCACAAAGGCGTAAAGTGAAAAACACTTACGCGTGAATTGGACCCCTTCGGTCGGTCAACGCGGGAGGCGTTCGGATCGCGCAGTTCGAAGGGTTTCCGCTTGTTTAGCGACCTGTACGTTCAAAAAAAGCAGAATAGGGAGGGGGTGAAGGATGAGCCCTTCGCCTGAAAAGCACTTAATTCCGGGAGTAAATTTGTGGTATAACGTGCAATAAAAGCAATATTTTCCTGTATTGACAGAGACTTATGAAATCAACTGATCAGGAACGAGACGTCAAAATACGGTGCGGTGGTTTTTCAAGGGTCTGCGCTGCACTACCAGAGGTTGCAGGGACTAATTAATTATTTAAATTAACTTAAACTACAACCGCAAAAAAACCTCGGGGCTTAATTTGAGTAAGGTTACGATAGCAATCGAAAGTGAAACGGACACTGGACCCCATAAACTGCACTCCGAAATTAACGCAATAACTTGGAGTTAACCACTGGGCCTCTTAGAGTCAAAAAATGGGCCTGAATACTTCAACTGGAATCCATCAGATAATGCGCAATAATATCGACAA